GGGGGGGGGGGGGGGGGACCAAAACCAACGTTAAAACCATCCAAACCATACGGCAAGAACTCTATACTGAAATATAAGCACTTTCACAAGCTATCATTTATATACGCTGTGGGGCTGACTGGATGTATATACACCACAAATGCCGAACATTATCATTATCTCCATTAGTCATTAAATGCTAAGGAACTCCCTTTAGCTAGAACTCAAGACACATTAACAAGGACAACATCAACAGTGTAGAGAAATGGATGTTCATCATAAATCGGCATTAACAAAACATTTTCAGTATAAAATCTTAGTCCAGAACTATGCAACATTATATAACCATTATATTAACATTTTTATAATTGTCACATGGAACAGAATACAAATACTTACAGTAACACAAAATAGCTACTGAAATGAAGATATAAAAATACACCTATAGGCTTTAAAGTAACACAAATCAAGCCACACACAGAGATTGACACATTCACGTTTTATCAATAAACTTGCCTATTATGATACAACCCTTTCACATAACAATACAAAGACTTTTCTGATTTAGCTGTACTACCAGAACAATGCAACACAGGTATCCACTTAACCTCAACAAACATAAGTTCAATAATGTCTTTTGCTTTCTCATAGATATACAGAAGATCGACAGTGCCCAGTATTCACAGGTGATTGGTCAGCACCTGGAATTACCCACAATGCTAAATTTCACTTTCACTGCTGGTTCTGATCAATGTAATTTAAAATGAGGAGATGAACAAGCGTGCTCCGATTACAGGGAGGAGACCGTCACAATTCTGAACATACGTAAGAGTTAAAGACACCTGTCCAATGGATGAAATCCTGTTTTCACACATATTCCTCCGTATCCAAAACAGCACCGCGATGGTGATTTTTTTTGTCTTTCTTTCTGCAAATGCAGCAAGACTTTTCAGGCATTCAGGAAACTTCTACTATAATGGTGGGAGGAAAAACTTCTGCAACACTCTCTGCTATAAGAAACCACTGCAGTCAGCAAGCTTCTTCACAACTAAAGACAGTGGGGTCATTTGTGGCCCAGCCACATGAAAAAGGGGACCTTCACCTGCCTGCAAATAAAGGACCATCTTTCCCGCTTGATAAACGTGAGGAATGTGAGAGAAAACACATCTTCAATGCAGAAGGACTTGTAATCCAGCTGTGACACTAAAGGTATGGATGAGAGAGTCACTGCATGGTCCTACGGCTAGCAAAAGGTAATAACTGTTCTGTGAGTGTCACCAAAACACATCACAATCAGTGGCTTCTAGTCCAATTTCAATGCGGCAGGAGAAAACTGAGAAGGACAAAGCAAAGTCGGGAATACTGCAGATGCGCTGTCAAAGGTTTTAAGAACGTAATCATAAAAACGTACTTATATAGCATCGATCCAAGCAGCAAAAAAACAGAAAACAGCTCCCCATCCGAGTCAATATCTTCAATTAAATGCATCAGAAACTAGTCCGGTTTATCTGAGATAGCATTGCCAAAACAGAGAAGGTGGCGACGGAAATGGGGAAAAAAAAAAGTTTCATTAACCGATGGGTGTTGCTGGACGACTTGAGTGTACTCCAAGGAAAGCTAGTAGGTTGTACAGTTAACTCCCAGGGTGTGATTCTAAACCATACAACCTACTACCTCAACCCGGATGTACACAGCTTCTGGACCAACTTCTTCTGGTCTTCCAGTGGAGAAAGCCATGCCACTTCTCAGCTTAATATTGCAAATGGGCCGACTTTCATGTCATCTCCGAAACAACATTTTTAATGTAGAGAAAGCAGAGAAGGAAAACAGACAGTGCATGCAACAAGTCATCACAGAAGCAGTATCTCGACGCTGTCCAATGAAAAACACACATCTCCAAAAACCCATTGTTTCAGGAGCATTTTCTTAGAAACTACTTTACAGATTAAACCTAAAACAACATAACGAGACATCCTGAGCACCACGAATAGAAACTTATCTTAACGCTGCCATCAGAGAACTGTTAGTTTTAAATAGACTTAAGTGGATTGTTGTTAGCGATGCCAACAGTGTCAACAAGATACACAACTAATCTTCCTTTGTATTCACAATTAACAAGGATGTTAGTTAACTAGCTATCTAGCTATTAATGTTAAGTTGTTAAAATAAACAATATAAACAAACATAAATGCTAGGTAACTAGGCGACTTCATAGAACATCTTTTCATTGGTCAATCAGATGTCAAACACCGTCTGAAGACCCAGGAGAATGGGCGTATTCCATCAATAGTAAAAAAAAAAAGTTACAATCATCTTAAAGTGGAAGTACACTGTTTTCATCAGACAGCGATGATATGCTGGCACAGAACACATCTTCTGTTTTCCTGAACAAAAATTTTATATTTAAAAAACCATCTACAAAATACATTTGTTTATAGGATGAAAGTGGTGACCATTTCAAGATAATATAAGAATGATAATTAAAAACTGATACTGATTCAGTATCACCAATATCAGTCCAGAATTTGCCAAATTATTGTTCATTGTGATTTTACATGCATCAAATGTCTGAGAGTTGACATGATCAGGCACAGCACTGTTGCATCTGGCGTAGTACTTTAAAAGATCATACAGAGAACTCCTCAAATGATACTGTTAACTTAGCTTGCTCTGTTATATTACACTCCAAACAGCCGCAAGGAAGACTCTGGAAATGTCTCTACTATATAAATAATAAAAATTTATTAAAAAAAAATTAAAAAAAGAACGAAGTCTTCCCTTGCTTGCATGCAGAAAGAAACAATGAAACAGCATAATGCGAAATATTCACAAATTGTCAAAGCATGGTGAGAGAATAAGAATCAGGGCCTCTAGCTTTGGATCTGTCGTACTATAGTGACCTGCTGATGAAACCGCCACAAATAGCAGACATGATTCCTAAGCGATGATACGATTTTTAAAATTGTACGATTTTAACCCAGAGAGCTGGAGCAGAGCTCTGCTGTTCTGGGAGTACTGGGAACAGAGGTTTCCCTTTAATCTGAGCTGTACTGGCAGGCTGAGCTTATTAACCTTTCCGTCTTATAAGTCTGTACGAATTGCTTTTAATACTTGTTATTTTTTCTGAGATTTAGCTATTACTAAACTCTGGTAAAATGTATTAAGTTGAAAGACACTGAGTTTGCAATAACAAGTAGCTTGAAATGAGCATAAAGATCTGGGAAACTTAAATCGCAATAACTTTTGCATAATTTATTTTCATGTAATTATTAACTCAAAAGTCCCTGTTTATCTAATTAATTATAAGAAATATGTTATCTTAAAAATTCTTATATACAACTAACCAAAACTAGCTGCAGGTGAACTTGTATATAAAAACACGATACTTTGTTTTTTTTAACAGCAACAAAAAAGCACAAGTTACAAATTAATTTATATGCAAAATAATTTGCAAATTAACTAAAAAAAATGTTTCCCACCTTTTTTTTTTTTTTTTAGGTCATTTAAGGTGAGAACCTATAACACTACTTGGCAGCCTGATTTAGCAACTTTAAAGCACCAGAAATTAGCATGTCAGCACAGTGCAAAACAGAGAGACATGTGCATTCAAGTTCTCAGTAAATCACAGCCGAAAAGAAAATTTCTGCAGGTAGAACGACGTTTATGCCCACAGAGTCAGACACCCACAGAAACGAGCTTGTGAGGTCAGAATCACCACAAGATCGGATCTACGGGTTTATGACCAGTGGCTTGGTTCTGAAACGTAATATTATCTGTGTCCAAAACAACAGCAATGATGATAATAATAATAATAATCCCTGAATAATTATCATGGATATAAAAGGCCGCTGCTATAGTTCGATGTTCTTAGGAAAAGTATTTAAAAAAACACATTGGTTTGACCAAAAAAAAAAGTGCAAACAAAACAATATGATAAACTAATATTTAAGTCATTTATATACTTCTCTAATACCAATAAAATACATAATATTACAGGAAAGTTCCAGTAGTGGATTATGGTATTATGGATATAACATAGTATTGCATGTCCATGAAAGTCTTATGAAAGCTTATAAACTGTGTCACTGCTCCATAAACCCCAGAAAAGGAAGGGCTCCCACAGGCTGAATCCTGCTGCCTTTTCAAAGCACAAGTGGGCTTCCCTTTTCTGCATTTCAAAGACACGTAAATCATACGGTGCAAAGGCAGAAGACAGGATGCCAACGGCCTTGGAGGTCAACAGCAAAAGCCCCTTCCAAGATGACAGAAAAGGACTGCAGGGCCCAAAGCCCGCAGTTTGACAAAAGCGAATGAAACACGCACCAAAGTGCAGCAGTTACACATAAAGTAAACTACCCCTTCACTGCTGTGACGGAAAACAAATGCTTAAACTCCAAGCATCATCACTCATACACGTAAGAAAATCCTACAGCATCATTCCACATGAGAAACTCCTTTTCCAAATATACCTAACATGAGATTAAAAAATTGTGGCTTTTACCTTGTAGCCCAGCAGTCCCTGATTCTGAATTCTTCATTCTTCTGTCACTGAACAAGAAAGTTATGATCAGTCTCACAGACACATTTTAAACAGTAAGACTCACAAATTCTAACACAAATAATGACCTATTTTATTTTGAGAAAGCTTCCTATATGCCTGCAGCTGTGTTTTAAAGCTATTTAAATTTCTCCAGGATAATACCTTGCACGTCCCATGCAGTCGTTTCATGGTCTATTTTGCCATTAAGTTTAGAAGCAACAAAAATCAGACTACCAGTTTCTGAATAGTTGTCAGTGCTAGTTTTTCACGTTTTGTTAAATATAAACAAAAAAGACCTAGTATGGAGACCTATACTGAGACATAATTACACTGGCACTATTCAACTGATACTACAGGAATTACGATCAAATCCAAAGAAATACAAAGTATCAGCTATATTTGAAAAGTTATTGCAGATGTGGCTTTTTTTGGAAATTCAAAATTTTAATTAACTTTTCTAGAAACAAAAGCATATTTTTAAATATAACAGAAAAAAATCATACAAAGTCATTCAAAGCATTAGAAATATAAATTTTTTTTGCACAACTCTAAAGAGGAAAACAACAATAATCTCCAACTAAAAAATTCTTTTTTCAGTTGTATTAGGACTACTACAGTATAGTGACTATTATTAAAGTTCAACAGATTTTGTATATACACACAATTATATAAATTACATAATATATTATAAATATAATGTGATCAAAGGACCAAAAACAATTAAATAAGCATATGTCTAGTACCCCACAGTGACACAAGAACAGAAAATAATTTTTTTTCAAGGCATTCTATCTTTGTTTTTGTCTAAACTTGTCTAAATATATATTTTGCAAAAGTAATTACAGAAAATTAACACAGAGTGGCAATTATTAAAAGAAATACCTGTTTTCACTGAATCTTTTTCATCTTTGGGAGGGACTTTTTGACAGTGATATGGAGAGATGCGAAAAGTTTTGGCTCAAAGATGAAGACGTTAAAGAAAATTGCAAAAAGGCAGGCAATTCAGAATAAACTCATTAACATCTTGCACTGTTTTAACTGCACCTGATGCTTGAGCACAAATGATTTCTCGATTTTTAGACATCTAACACAAAGGACACTGGATCTCCACATGAAGTTTTGTTTTTGCAATTCTGTGGTTATGTTCAAGCATTCCCACATTCATTGATACTCCTGTATGCTTCAGTAAATCCCCTCTTGTATTTTTTTTTAACAGTGCAAACGCCCCCTTTTTCCTTCCATATCAAAAATAATCAAGTCAAAATTCAGAGCACACTCGCCTGCGAGATAGCTGCCCCAGTCCGCATCGTGACTCACTGCCTTGACGAGTTGGTGGGAAAAATGGGCAGACTCTACAAAGACGGCGGTGATTTTTGCCAATGGCTGAGAGCTATGCGTCTGCGGGTATGGCGGGCGTGGTGCCAGCGCGTTTCAGGGCTCCTTGGTGAGCTCACTCTCACTTCTGCCACCCCGAGTTGCCCAGCACGATCGCCTGTGCCATGAACCACCCTCAAGTTTTGTTTCTTCAGTCCGACAAAAGGAAGGTCAGACGAACGCCGCCAACTACGGCTAGCCAGCTCGGCCGGACTCGCTGCCGTTATTTCCAATTAGTTTTAGGTTTCGTTTATTCTTTTTTAAGTAATTATTATCATTTGTGTTTTGCAAGATTGGATATCCCCTCTACATTTTGCATCTGCAGATAAGTAGCAGGTTTTGTCAGACACGAAAAGGAACAGAATCCTGGTGTCAAGCCAAAGGAAAAAAAAACAGAATAAAAGGCAAAGTTGGACTTTGGAGCTCAGCTCCTCGCTGAGGCGAAGTAAAACCCGTGCAGTAAGAGCCGCCATTTTCTGAGCAAATGCAAGGAAGGAAGGGAAAAAAAACTGTTTCACAGGCATTGCTCTCCAAGTTTCGCCGTTTCTCTCTCTCTCTCTGTCTCTCTCTCCTGGCACCATAACAAAACCTCAGCCGTAAGGTCACATGGTCCACAGCCAACAAGCGAACACATTCCCATAAACCCTTCTGCTGACACTGCGAAGGCATCTTTTGTCTAGTTCAGAACCTAAGCTCAGGCTACTCAAAAAATTCAGCACCTTCGAAGAGTGGGTGGGGGCGATGGTTCGGGGGGGGGGGGGGGGGGGGGGGGGGGGGGGGGGGGGGGGGGGGGGGGGGGGGGGGGGGGGGGGGGGGGGGGGGGGGGGGGGGGCTCCTTTTCATGCAGAGAGCAAAAGGAATAAATTCTGTGCATAATGCACCTTTCCCTTCTCCCCTCAAGTAGCCTGCGGTTCAAGTAGACCAATGTGAAAGCACAACCGGCCAGCAAGCTCCGAATGACGCCCCGAAATAGGGGTGAGGAAGGAAATTCTTGCCGACCCATTGCACGGCTGAGGAGGGGGGGGGGTAGCAGGATGGCAAGAGAGGTTGTGCACCCACTCTTCTCAGCTGGAGCAAATCAGGCTGCATAACTCTCATATTTGACATGCTTATTAAAGGGGGCACCCATTTTGCCAACGACAAGAACGCCTCGATTGTAGTCCTGCCAGGGTTTTCCGAGAGGCGACGAGCTTCGAAGGTTAAACTTTTTACTGGCAGAAGCCTAGAAATCCCACAACAGAGCAAAGGGCTCACATAACTATGAACTGAATCAGATGTTTTCCATTGTGGTGGAAGCTCCATATTTTACGGCTGCACATGACATTACAGAAGGCGAAGCGTTCACGACGCGTTTGCATCACGCGAAAACAAAAACAAAACAAAAATCATTCATTTTTTAATTTGTTTTGGAGTTTCTCTTTAAGGGGGAGTGGCTGAGATTGGCCAGGTGGGCGTAATCATAATCACTAATAAAGGGAGGGACAAAGAGGCTCCATGAAAAGGGATACAGGGATCTTCTCCAGTCACCCAAAAGCTACACCAAGTGCCAAACCTTGCATCAAGAAAAAAAACAGCTTGGCTCACGGATAACTACAAGGACAATGGAAATACAGCAGGTGGTTTCCTTTAGCTATCTCCGGACATAGACTGAAAAAATAAACAAGAATAAATTATTTTCTTTCTTGTAATAAATAGTAAAACCTCAACTGTTTACATCCTAGTAAAAATGGGCTGCTATTTAAAAAATGATTGTATGCAATGCTAACTTGTCCACGTAGCTTAAAAATAACTTCACTAGCAAAACACAAAACGCATTTAAACTCCTGAATCATTCGCTACAAATTTTAAGTATCTGGTGCAAAGTTTTCTGTGCCATTGCAGTACCTGTTGCTGGTCTGATGAACTTTATGTAGGGCTATTCAGAAGATGACTCCAAGACAGTTTAGTAAGCACTGTGTTATGCTATTATGTGGTAGCAGCGTTCATCTATACCAGTAAATACAGTATCAAGCAGTGGTTCAGTGCTGCACCTGGAAGAGTATAGCGGCACAAAAGTTGAACACTCTGTTACAATTTCAGAAGAACCAATATGTATTCTTAGTTTAACAATGAGGAAATTAAGCACTAGGACTTTGACTGATGACGGGTACTGGTGCATGTATTCACTAAGGTATCAGTCCAAGTGAGCATCACCCCAAAGAGTGCTTGAATGAAACCCAAGAAGTCCTATGCGTTTTTCAATTGTGCCAATTCTTCATTGGTGTACATTTACTGGTATCATATGAAAGAATCTCCCCCCTGGCAAACTGACATTAAAGGGACGTTTCCAGTAGAGCCAGTTAGCTGCTTCTGGAGAGTTCTGACTACTTCAGACTAACTGAGGCTTAAAATTATATACTATAAAAAAATTTAACAATAAGGAAACAGCATAATTAAAATTATATATGAGGCATTTTATAAACTCAAAAAGAAACTATTCAGTATTTTAAAAAATGATTTAGATTCATAAAATGAGAATTTATAAAAACACTTTCCATAATTGGTTCCACTTTTCTATGTGTGTAGGGCCAACAGGTGGAAAACCTGTCAGACGCAGATTCATAACAAAAGGCTGTGCTGTAGTATCCCTCAGCGAGGCACTTGAACAAACGTATGCCGCAGTAAATGGGGGAAAAACTCACAAGTCACTTTGGTTAAAAGGGTCAGCTGAGCAGCTGAACGTAAACGTGCAAATGATGAAAACAAGGAGAAAATTGCACCGCTATTCTAGTCAAATCGTTAGCACCGTTCACAGTCCACTTGACATACCAACACGCGTGGGACAATACTTGTTCTGTTGCAGAACAATTTTTTTTCCTGCATAAATTATGTGCTGTCAAAAGGATTTTAAAGGCGTGCGAATAAGTACTTTGAAAACTTTTGGTGACTGCATTAACATGGAGTCATTTGCAATGTATGCATATAAAACTTTACAGTACTTTTTCCCAATGAAACAGCTTTTATGCATTACACAATTACAGGCTTGTCAAATGTGTGAGGATAAAAAAACTAAATAATGTATACACAGTAAAGTTACATACAACGGGTAAACAACATAGTGTCACATTCAAATATCAAGATCCTAATAATGAGTAGGGCCAATCTTTTGCTTCAGAACAGCTTCAATCTTTCTCAGTACGTTGGCATACCACTTCTGAACTTTGGTAGTGAGGAGGGCCAAATTTAGGGAGGTGTGGGGCCCTGGGCTAAAAAAAAAGTAAAAAAGTTGGAGCCTTCAGTAAGAAGGACCCAGGGCTATAGCCCAGGTTGGCACCACGCATAAGCCCGGCCTATGCAGTCGGATACCGGACCAGAACTCGAGAAGAAAAGCCTCCAGTTCTTTGACGGATGAAAAAGCTGGGAATCTACTTCGCAATCTACACTCAGAACTTGCCGTGAAGGTTCAGTGATGTTTATATCTAGTAATTAAGCATGGCCACGGAGGGTATTTCTGATATACCAGCACAAGCGTCTGCTAGGCAAATAAACATAAAATGTAAATGTCTGGCTTCGTCCCTGGTGTTCATGAAACCCCCACAATTTAAGTGGTATGATTGGGGAATAAGGGAACATGATGAGGGAGCACCAAGTCCTG